GGCTGAACACTAAATTTTTGTAATATTTCTTGGAACACCATCCGATGCAATTGTACTTGGAATTTCACAGGTATGGAAATGAAAAATTGTAAACCGAAACTCTTGCGGGATTAATTTATAATCCATATGTTCGGTAATAATAGTGGTATGCAAGGGAAAAAAAGTAGGAAAAGAGCGACAGTATTGATAGGAGACGAAAGATTAGACGAAGTGGCTGATTTTAGGTATTTAGGAAGTCAGATAAGTCAGGACGGAAGGAGTGGTAGGGATATAAAGCAGGGGATAGTGCAGGGTTGAGTCGCCTTTAATAAAAAAAGTCACTTTTATGCTTGGGAACGATTAATTTAGAAAGTTGAGAAAGATTGTTAGACTAAATGTGGTGTTACCGGTGAATGATGAGGATACCGTGGATAGAGAAGATTAAAAATGAAGAGGTATTAAAAAGTATAGGACAACAGAGAACCCTTATGGAAGTCAATAGAAAATAGGCGAGATAGGTTGGTAGGACACCTTTTCAGGCATGAAGGTCTAGTCAGAGACGTACTAGAGGCAGAAACAGGAGTTAAGAGGAGTAGAGGTAGATTAATACATAGTTAATAATGTGGGATGTTTTAGGGAAATTTAGAAGATTAACTCAGGATAGGAAAGAGTGAAGGTGCGTGTCCAACCAGTCTTAGGACTGACGACCTTATGATAATAATTAGCGGAAACCACGTTTCCATGTACTTTTTCTACTTTGAAAAATTGTATCGATATCATTCAAGTAAGGTTAGGTTAGGGTGGAGAGGTGGGTGGAGGGTTGATAAACGTATGTTCAGGGCACTTTTTTGTGTTTATGACGATTTTAATAATTCTATTTTATTAGATAATTTATATGTCAAAAATGATACCATTTAAATTTGAAATAAATATTCCACCTCCAACGACGGAAAATTAGATAAAAGAATAGAGAAAAGAAACCTTAGTATTTCATTCAGTTCTTTTTAACTTTTTTGTTTAGGTTTGTGCATTGCTATTCACTACTATTATACCATTTTAAGCACACACCCGTGTGCAGCAAGGAAACTGTATTTGTTATTTTGTTTTAGTTTTGTTATTTAAATTAACATCAAACATAATGCTTTGTTAAAGTTTCCGAAACAATATGCAGTACAAAACATTTTCAGAACGCTTTGTATAACGAAAAGCAGATTAATTCTACTTATAGTTGCACTCAAATCAAATTCAAATTGATTATTAACGTTTGCGTCTGTTCAGTTAATAAACTGTGAAATTCACTATTGTTTTTGGAACAGTACAATTATGAATCGATTGTTTCTACGGAGCTTTTTTGATTACTGTGTTTCATACGAATTATATGCACAAGTCGAATATTCTTAAATATCTTTACAGGAAAAAGATAAAACCTAAATTACTAGGAATAAGTTGCTTGCATAATTCGAAATGAGTAATAATGTTACATACTTATACCTACGTAAAGCAAACACAAATTTGCTGATTCTTACGAAATATTGATTGTGACTAAACATTGTCAAAAAAAAAATCTTGTTTCACCTTGTATTTATTCCTACTAGGTACATAGTAGTACAAGTAGAATTGGNTGCAGTACAAAACATTTTCAGAACGCTTTGTATAACGAAAAGCAGATTAATTCTACTTATAGTTGCACTCAAATCAAATTCAAATTGATTATTAACGTTTGCGTCTGTTCAGTTAATAAACTGTGAAATTCACTATTGTTTTTGGAACAGTACAATTATGAATCGATTGTTTCTACGGAGCTTTTTTGATTACTGTGTTTCATACGAATTATATGCACAAGTCGAATATTCTTAAATATCTTTACAGGAAAAAGATAAAACCTAAATTACTAGGAATAAGTTGCTTGCATAATTCGAAATGAGTAATAATGTTACATACTTATACCTACGTAAAGCAAACACAAATTTGCTGATTCTTACGAAATATTGATTGTGACTAAACATTGTCAAAAAAAAAATCTTGTTTCACCTTGTATTTATTCCTACTAGGTACATAGTAGTACAAGTAGAATTGGTGATTGTCTGCTAAAATATATAGAAAATCGATACATAAAAAGTTTGAGTAAAGTTGACAAAGGTCATTTTCTACAGCATTTGAGCATACGGATTACCGCGCTCCCACCATTATTTTGTAGCCAAATTTTAAGGGTAGATTTATATTAATATAAAGACGGTTTTGGCTAAAGGAATTTGGCAACACCTGTAGTCAAAATGTTTTTTATTTTTTTTGTAGGTGAAGGAATTCACACTTTACTTTTTTTCTTATTAAAATTTGCAAACTTAATCGTTGTAAAATCGATGAATTTGGTTTTTGTGAGATATGAACTTATAATATACGTCTGTAAAAAGATGGGAGTGTTTAGAACAAGGTGATAAGACGAAATAAAGCAAAACGTTAATAATAAGAAATAGTGCCCTATTATGATAAGATAAATAAAACATACAAATGTACTAAAGGAATATGTATTCGCATAATTTCTTATTTAATGAGAAATTTAGTTTGAAAACTGGCAAATGCGCGAATAAAAAAATTAAATATTCTGTCCGTACAGTTCTTGTGTAAACAACTTTGGTTAGATTTTGAAAACCTTAGCTCTTATAATAAAGGAGAAATTTAATATTCCAACTGGTAAATAAATGCATGTGTGTAAATAAGAATTTAAAAATGACGGGTGGAAAATGCTCACTAATATACGATGTCTCTTAGCAACTCGTATTAGATTTTGATTGTATCTGCCCCAATAATAAGGGAGAAATTTAATTTTCAACATTAATAAAAAGATTTTAAAACTGAGAGTGGAATATGCTCACCGGTTTCTTCTATCCATGCGATTAGTGTATATGGTTTTTTCAACAATTCTTATTAGATTTTTATTATCTATACAACAAAAGGGTGTCAGACGGAATATAATCTTTTCTGGGACATTTGAAAAATACACAGCCAGGCATCATGCAATTTGTAAAAAAAAAAAACTAAAGAAACTTATAAACGTATTGTTTGTATTACTGTTTGAAACATTCTTGGATATTATCTCTTTAAATTTCTGTACATGGAACATATACAAAGTATTAAGTTTTGGTATAACCCCGGGTGCCCAAAAACCCTGGTTGACAACCTACTTGAAACCTCGAAAATTTGAGAATCAAGCAAAAAGGTTTGAATTTCAAAAATGGAAGTTGTTATAAATTTACTTAATTTTAAAAAAAAACTTAGTACCCCTAGTAGTTTTAGAAATGCAAATGTGAAAATCAAATAATTACTGTTAGGGATCCAGATTATATTAATTTCACCCTGACAAAAGTTGGAAACGGAATAGGATCAATAAGAATAAGGCCTTAGGATCGGCCTAATTACCATTTGTGGCATTTTTGCCAATGTTTTGAATTTTCTCACCATTATCGATATTCATATAGAAGATAAATAAAAAATTGTCCCCAAAAAAAGTAAAAAATTTTCACCAAAATGATTGTGTCTAACTATTGGGATGATTCTAAATATTATGAATTTCTAATTGGATTAGGTATAAGGAACAATAAAGGCATTTTTTAGAAAAAATGTAACAGAGTGTTTATTATCTCCTCGCTTTATTTCAAGATTACTATCAAATATTAGCTCTATTTTCTACTTTCTTTTCCTTTCCTTTAAGGGAAAGGAAGTCCTAATCCCTTGTGATTGCTTGTTTCATTAACAATTAAAGATATCTATAAATCGCGGTAATTTACGTACATTATTTAGATAGTATTAAAGAAAATCTCCGTTATCATAAACCCGTAAAAACGAATCTTTCAAAATTGATAAGGTTAGGAATTAAAAGAGCGGTTTTCTTTAATATAAAAATCGACAGATTGCAATTACGTTCTGTATTATTAAACTTGTAACATTACAGTTTCATGTTACTAAAAATGCTTTCCTTCGGTGAACGCAAGTTTTGTCAGTGTTGCCAAATCCAGGAAAATTACAGCCAACTTAAGAAAAATTAAATTTTGTATGACATAGGAAATTTTTACATATAAGCAACAAAAGTAAATAGAAAAATCTATGGGAATACGAAATATCATCATCATCATCATAAGATCGTCAGTCCTAAGAGTGGTTGGACACGCACCTCCACTTTTTCCTATCCTGATCTAATCTTTGCATTTCCCTAAAACGCCCACATCCTTAGCCATTTATGAACAGTAACCTAATCTAAGGCTATCTCTACTCCTCCTAATTCCTGTTTCTGCTTCTAGAGAAGGTGTCCTACCAACCTATCTCGTCCATTTCTTTTTGACTTCCACAGCGTCCTCTGTTCTTCTACTCCTACTGCTACCTCCTCATTTCTAACCTTTTTTATCCTCATCAGTCGCTTGTAACAGCAGATTTCGAACGCTTCTAACTTTTTTCGTTTCTGACGTACTCACCGTCCACGTTTCGCACCCGTACAGCGCCCTGCTCAAGATGATTTCTAAATTAACCGTTCCCGAGCATAGAAGCGAATATATAGGAAATAAATAAAAGTCAATCTGGCAACGCTGGGTTTTCTTATTCCAGTTCTTGCTGATTAATCAAAGAATAAAATCTGCCATCGAAGTGTGAAACGCAATGATGAATTGTTATTATTATTATCACGGTATAGTTATTATTGCCACAATCGCGAACCTTCGATGATTTCACCTTCTCACAACGACAGTAACCAGGCAACGTAAGTTATCGCATTACCATCAAAACCGCAGTTGTATTGCAGCTGATAACTGATATCAGTACGATTGAGCTGTTCGCGGGCGTGCTTGCGTGTTTTGTGTTCTATAAAGCACTTTTCATAAAATAGTACGTACCTCTAGGTGTATGATCGTGGTCGATTGTTTGTTGCTTTACAATTTTATTTATTTACCGTCCCCATAACTACTCATTTGTTCTATACATCGTTTTATGTGTTTTTTTTTCTGCTTTACCCACTTGTTTTGTTCTCGTGTTAGCTTAAAAGACGGTGCTGCTTCTTCCTGATTCCTGTGAGGATGCAGAATTAATTATTGTATCGTGTGGTGTCGGGAATAATGAACAACAAACAGTTGATTAATAACAGGTGTCGTTTTTGACGTAGAGTGGCCGATTATGAACGAATCGCCGCGATCCAGTGGTGCCGATGGATCAACCGATAATGATGCTACGACAACAGTAAAAATTATCAGCGACTCATCGACGGTTACACAAGAAAGAAATAAGAACAATAGAACAAGTGACTATCAAAAGAACGGAGAACAAGAGAGTGCCGGTATTGCGGGCGACAATTCTAGTTCCAAAGGTGGCATTTTGCATAGCTTTTTCCTGAAACTGGATTCAAGAGTTGCTAACGGCGTCGATATTTTAAAAAATCAACGCGATAATATAACGTACGGCGGAAAATACATGGACCGCTACAAAAACGACTTTTCACACGACCCTCCCACCAGACAGTCCCCGACGAGTGCTAGGTACAGGGACGTTAACGGAAGGGTCCTCAAAACTCCTTTACGAAACAATGACAACGGTTCGAGTCCTACTGGACTGGAGATTGGCAGCGATCTCGAAAAGTACCAAGTGGGCAGAATGAGTCCTTCAACTCCCTCTTCCTTCGGCCGTTTCAGAAACGAACAAGGAACTTCCGAAATCTTACCTCCCAGGCAGCTAAAGAATCCTTTGGCCCAAAAGACAATGAATTCTTTAACTGGGACCAACGTTCTCGAGAATAGCGCGCTACTGGCCGGCAAACTACCCGATTCTAATGACAGAACTGTCAATTTGAGGGACATTCTCGCGTCGTCCCCCATTACTAGTCCAACAAGTGGCAACAGAAAGATTTTTTCCACCCGCAACAGTAACGCCACGCACGAACTGAACAAGGCGGAGAACGTGTCCCAACTAACGGGATTCAAACTTGTTTCGGATGTAAAGGCCCTCTTCAACAAACAAAATAACGACTCTCGTTCTTCCAGTTCTCCGAAACACGAAAAGAAACACAAGAAAGACGATGACATCAATATATATTCAATTCAACCGCCTCAACAGGGCCGCGAAAGCATCAGAAGAACAGCAAACAATAGCTTTTCAAAAAATATGAAGGATGAGATGCCGGCCCTGGATTCAATGAACGCTCTCCAGAATGTTCAGAGGTTTATCGACGCGTGCGAAGAAGAGGCCGTTAAAAATGAGAACCTCAAAAAGTTCGAGGAACTTCTTAAAAAGAACCAGGATAAAAACAAGGCTAATAAGGATATAAGTATACCTGACATTAAGAAAGCCGTTCAATCGCCCAAGGTGGAACAGGCCAAAAAGTTCGTTGAGCATATCCACGAACCTTTGAAGAGTTATAATGAAGTCGAAGATCTACTGAGACCAGGAGTTAGCGATATGGAAGCAGACAACATGGAAAATTTTGATAGGGGACAAAAAACTAGGAATAGTACCAGCGGTGTAAGACCCAACGAATCAAAAGCCAAACCTTTGAGTAGAACTGCGTCTGATGCCCAGGAACGTCCGCAAATCGTTAGGAAGAAACCAGTTCCTAAAACCAGGCAGAGAAATCTATCAGTAGAATCGCAGGTATTTTGTTCAGAAGAATTCTGTAAATTTATTTATGATCGTTTTTGTATTTTTTGTGCATTTTTCTACAGTGCACAGGTTTTAATTTGTTTTACTTCTTCCTAGGATTAAATTTCGCAATTTTTTTTTCGTGAGAGTACGTTACTAAATTTTAATCATTACATTGGAAGATATAGTACGTTCACGTTAGGTTAGAGTGATACACGTTTTATGTGCAAGCTATTAGAATGAAATCAAAATTCTGTTGATTACTTTGTGGCCTTTGCTAAGCCCATGATTGATTAGTCACTTCAGCTAATATACAATACTTGTTGGCAGATACAGTAATATCAATTTAACGTTATTGGTTACTTTTTTTTTCAATATTTCGTCGTAAACTGTACATTGATGTAGCCGTGTAACTACATACATACACACAAGTTTAGATGTTTTGGCAGTTTTGTTGATAATCAGCAGATCAACATGAAACCGACAAAACGGCTGTTCGTGCAATTTCATTGTTTGCAAAGATAAAAGATAACGTTTCGATAAGCAAATAATATTAATAAATTAAAAAAAACAACTGACCTGCAATTTATTCTACTTTAAATTATATTTAATACAGCGCCTTTACAATAAATTTCACAATTATTAATTTCTTTCATACTGTTAAATGATTTAAACAATTGTTTTTCAATTAATTTCTCATAACGTTGTAGTTACTCGTACATAGAATCATTGTTTATAATATGGTTCCCATAATCGGAGGGGGAAGGGTAGGTAAGGTAGGGGTGACCTTACAACACGCCCCCACCCAACAAGTTAAAACCACGGGTTGGAGGGCATGTGGGAGGCGCAAGGGATAGAGCTAAAATTTGAAGGGTTAAATGGTAATAAATTGTGTACACATATGTAACCGTGGAGGGGGAAGTTTCTTCTCTACCCCTCTCCGTAAAGTGAGTTTGTACAGAATCCTAAAGGTCTGTTTTTGGGGGGTTCTACCTATCATCACCAGGGTACTAGAAAATTTTATTTGAGTCCATATTTCTGACGGAAGGACACTACCCTAATCTTATGACAAAATAGTACTCCACATCTGACTTGATGTTCAGCCCCTATCTCTCAGAGTTCTCTTCTTCTATGTCGCCCGTTTTAAAGGTCTGGTTGATCTTTCGGGAACCATTCTAGAAATTCATTAAACGTATGGAAATGAAACAGATAGACCGCACATTTTGGTCGCTCCCATCTCCCATACACCGGTTAGTGCACATACGATTAGTAGGAATCGCAAGACAAACGCTTTCTAGTTTTTTTTTTTCCATTTACAATTTGTATTGCGATTAAATATCTATCACAACTCTACAAATTATCTAGTCTAGAACCATAGATACGTATGTAGCACATCATTATGTGTATAGTATTTTTATCGAGTTTGTCTTTTACAAGATTTAAATTTGTGCACCTCGTACATGCGATACATAAAGCACTAACTAGGAAAGTGCTTATTCGATTCGTTGGTTTTCTATTCGCAATTATGGCAACCGTAAAAAGGTAATAACAATAAGAGACCTCGTTCGAGTAAACAGGTATTGTTTGCTTTTTGAATAGGCCCCGTTTATTTATTAATTAGTAACGATTATTGTTAATCGCACACACGAACGCACATACATATTATGTACTCATAATCCAGATATACTGTGATATTTTTTATTTTCTTGCGAGCACGATGCTGATAACAGAATAACTGATAAGATAACCGTGTATTGCTAGTGATATAGTTGAAGTGTGTAGTTCATAGGTATATGTTTGCTAAATGGTCTAGTCAATGTCGTTTATGTTTTCGTCAATAAATATTATTTTTATATTGAATATTCCATAAATACGTAATACATGTACCTACCTGTTAAAAATGCAAATTTTCTCTTGAATTCCCACAATCACTTGAATATATCTGTGTGCATACATTCTTACTGGTTAAGTTAGGTTACAGTAGAAGTTAAAATATGCCCTCGAAATTACGTTCAAATGGACACAACAGTTCCGCTCATGTATTAGTAGGGTTACCAACTCTCCAGTTTTTTCCGGGCTCCAGTATATAAAAAATAATCTCAAAATAATTTTTATGAAAAACACAATTTTATTTATTGTTCCCTTACTGGCAATGTTCTTATGGAATGTTACACACATTATAATTACTATACTAATTCTCTACCTAGAGTATAGAGTATAGAGAATCATTCTTTTAAATCCTTCGGTTTGCATTATTTAAAATATTAATATTAATTAATTTGGCAAAGGTCTAGATGATGGGGGGTGGGGGTGG